CTCTTTCCTGTTCATTTTGTCGCTTCCTACCGTTGTCGCACTGTTATACAATACAACCACGAAGAACCAACTCGCCTGAATTAAGCTCTTGTTGGTAATTGCTTTGTAATACTTTAAATTATTAATTCTTCATTATACGACACCTTGTGAAATGGCTTCCAGAAATCAATAAATATAGCGTGTTTTGTTTCCTTTATTAGTCGACTGTGTGAACTGCGTAATGGTTTCCAATAATTGAGTAGACATAGAAAGCTTACACTTGAAACAATGTTGGATATTTAAGGATATGCATCGTGGTCTTCTAAGAAACCTATTATATGTTGATAAAATAGGTGTAATGTGACAAAAAAACGATACTCTTTCCTTGCATCCGTTCATAACAGCACAGAGCAGTGACAGTGGTTCTCGCTTTTGTGGCCGATAGCAAAACGTGTTCATCGCAAAGCCACCACTATCGTTGCGGCCTTGTCCAGACAGCATAACGGGGCAAATCCTGTTGTCGTTCGTACGCATAACGTTAGGGAGCACTAGAATCATCTTGCGTACTGGCACGTAAGTGGGATTGTCACAGAGTACTTTTTTTGTTTCGCGGGCTTTTGTTGTTTGTAGAAAAACACTAATAATTAGCAAATAGAAATGTCCAATACAGTACACATTATTTGCAAACCAATCTACAACTTTCCGAATAAAATTTTTAGCAATCTTTGTTCCTTCAATGGTTAGTAAAGTAAACAGATGTAATTACACCATACTTTAGAACACAAAAATAAACCGGCTAACTCCAGATAATGGTCAGCAACTGGCATTCGGTAGCATCGTATTTGCGTGTGTTGGCATATTTTTTCACTCTGGCTATAGATAGCTGGGGCACCCTGTATAGGCCCACCTACGCGAACATACGCTTGACGAAAATCCTATCAACTTCCACAATAGACCAATCTCACCAGATGATCAGCGCATGCGCCGGTCTCTGACAGAGGCGCGGCTGCCATCTTAATTGGAGTACTTTAAGCGTGGCTGGGGCAGCTGCTTGCTGCGTGCTTCAGGTATATTGGCGTTTGGCACAAATCCTTAGTGCATAGAACATTTCAATGGGGTGAAAAACTTTGACTACACCTGCAGTGCATGGTATACTTTATTTATGATTACACTGCATATCGTAGCGTTAAAAATATGCCATCGGCACTGCTTACATGTGGCCAGGATGTCTCGGCTTCTTGATGCGCTTGCGTAGCTTCACTCAATTCATTAAAGTTCTTTTTTAAAAGAAGAATTCACAACCCTGTCGTCATGAGAGCAATAATCACCATTAGTGAACGTCTTCACGTGACCGATACATGCTACAGTATGTGGAAAAAAACTTCCCCAAAGTGCGTAAAGCTCCGCGACCTAATGCGGCCACAAACAAACCAATTGTATAAAAAGAAGCTTTTTCGGATCTTTCTTTGCCCAAGCAACAATTTTGAAGTGCACTGTGTTGTATATTACCCAGGTCTTTGATTAGAGTGATGCGTTAAACGTGAATGAAAATGAAATGGTCCCCGTGAAACAAGCTAGAAGCGCGTCCATGGGATGGCAACTGATCGCATGCCGTTCCAACAGTTTACCGTCACAGAAGTCTTGCAAACGGCAAAATATTTCTTACTGCAAAAAAAAGGATGATTTAAGAGGCTCTGGTGACGCACACATTGCGGCCAGCGAATGCCTCAGTGGACGCCTGGGCACCGATACCGTCGTTAGGCCTCTCATTTCAAAACTGCATTGCGCCTACGCTCCTAATGGAAGATAAGCTTTGCTACCGTGTTGCCGCTTCACGTTGATTTCATGATATTATCACATCTTCAGAGGAGTGGGACTGTTCCGGCGGCCGCGTTGGATACGATGCTGGCACGCCTGAGTTTTCGCCATGCGCTGCATGGCGTAAGCTGTGTACACGTGCAGCACGCACATTAAGCTGGGTTTGTGCCTCAGCTTTAATTCAAGCAATACGCTCCATGGTCATCATCACTTTTGATGAGAGGTCTGTTTCCGTAATCCCTGTGTGGCCCGGAAAATGCTTTTTGTCCAATCCGCCACCGCTGACGGCGATTGCCTCAGCAAAGGCATTAAACACACGTTGCATGAAGTTTTGATGTTGATGATCAGCCCATCGGTAGCACAGAGAGCAAGTTATGATGTGATCGGGTACTCCTAAGCTACCCTGCTTCATATACACGCACTGAACTGGCGAACACTTTGAAGAACACGTTGAAAGAGCGTGATTTTTGCCGCTTCGTCTGACTTCATTGGATCTCGCACACATTCCTGTCGAGTTTGACATGCTTTGAAACACGTGGAATATCTTGTCCTTTTGCTCCATGCAGCCTGCTGTTCTAGCATGAAACTCCTCAAGCCTCATCCCTTATTATATAAATATGACTACTGAAGCTTGTTGATGCAGCGTAACTCACCGAGTGCGCAAAGTACCGGCATGAACTGCAGCAGGGGAGGGGGGGGAGGCGTATATTGCAACTCGCGCTGAGATTGGCCTATTGGCACCGAGGCTTTGTAGAGCGCCCCGAAAATAAACGCAACATGTGCTTGAAACAAGGCAAGGATGAAAAATGTACTTACACACACACTCTCTCTCACACACACACACACACACACACACATATATATATATATATATATATATATATATATATATGTATATATATATATATATATATATATATATATATATATATATATATATATATATATATATATATATATATATATATATATATACATAAACTCTGTCCTGTGCTTGTGCTGCCAATTTATACTAGCAAACTTCTTAATCTGATCTGCCCACCTAACCTTCTGTCTCCCCCTAACCCGCTGGCCTTCTCTGATAATCCAAATAGTTACCCTTAATGACCAGCGGTTATTCTGTCTACGCGCTACATGCCCAGCCCATGCCCATTTTCTCTTGATTTTACATATGATATCCTTAACGCTCGTTTGTTCCCTAATCCACTCTGCTCTCTTCTTGTCTCTTAAGGTTACACCTACCATTTTTGTTTCCAATGCTCGCTGCGTCGTCCAAAATTTAAGCTGAACCCTCTTTGTAAGTCTCCAGGTTTCTGCTCCGTAGCTAAGTACCGGCAAGATACACCTGTTTTATGCCTTCCTCTTGAGGGATAGTGGCAATCTTCCTGTCATAATTTGAGAGTGCTTGCCAAATGTGCTCCACCACATTATTATTCTTCTAGATACTTCAATCTCATGGTTCGGCTCCGCGGTTATCACCTGCCCTAAGTACACATAGTATTTTACAACATGAAGTGCATTATTACCTATCTCGAAGCGCTGCTCTCTTCCGAGGTTGTTGTACATTACCTTCGTTTTCTGCAGACTAATTTTAAGACACACCTTTCTGCTCTCCTTCTTTCACTCTGTAATCATGAGTTGCAATTCATCCCCTGAGTTACTCAGCAATGAGATATCATCGGCGAAGCGCAGGTTACTAAGGTACTCTTCATTACCTTTTATCCCAAACTGTTCTCATTCTAGACCTCTTAAAACCTCCTGTAAGCACGCGGTAAATAGCATTGGGGAGATGTATCCCTCTGCCTTACACTCTTCTTGATTGCTATTCTGTTGCTTTCTTTCTGAAGCAATATGGTAGCAGATGATCCCCTGTATATTTCTTTCAAGATGTTTATATATGTTTCATTGACGCCCTGATTCCGCAGTGTCTGCATGACTTCTGATATTTCTACTGAATCTTCTCGAAATCTATGAAGGCTATGTATATTGGTTAACCATATATATATATATATATATATATATATATATATATATATATATATATATATATATATGTGTGTGTGTGTGTGTGTGTGTGTGTGTGTGTGTGTGTGTGTGTGTGTGTGTGTGTGTGTGTGTGTTGTGTGTGTGTATGTGTGTGTGTATGTGTGTATATGCGATCTGACAGACAGTAATGCCAAGGAATTTACAGGGGAAGTTATTAGAACCAATGGAATGTAAATAAGAAGAAAGAAAAGTGGATGAAAAAAAAAAACCAGCCGTGGGCAGAAATCGAACCTGCGACCTTGGAATAACGCGTTCGAAAGCATCGAACGCGTTATTCGAAGGTGGTAGGTTCGATTCCTGCCCACGGCTGGTTATTTTTTCATCCACTTTTCTTTCTTCTTATTTACATTCCATTGGTTCTAACTTCCCCTGTACATTCCTTGGCATTACTGTCTGTTAGATCTCATTATTATTGTGTTAAAACACGGAAAAAACGAGCCCTCAGGTATACACTTCTTTCCCTTATTTTATATATATATGGGAAAGAAGTATATACCTAAGGGCTCGTTTTTCCGTGTCTTGACACAATATTATTGAAATCTAACAGACAGTAATGCCAAGGAATGTATAGGGGATGTCATTAAAACCAATGTAATGTAAATAAGAAGAAAGAAAAGTAGGTGAAAAAAGCATATATAACGTACATAACATACATAACAAGGGTCTGACCCTTGTTATGTATGTTCATAACTGTTTTTTTATATTTGCGCGTAAATAAACACCTAAAAATTGTAACAAATCGGGGTCGGCGCGGGGAGCTGTGCAATTTATGGAAAGGTTGCCGATGAATTGCACAAAGGATCAAACCCCTTGTTCGCGAGTTTATTATGCAAGAAGTGGTGTCATTGTTATAGGTTATCTCCAAGAACAAATTTAACAATACTTGAAATGGCTCACTTCTCTACGTGCGGGAAACTGTAATAAACAGCGGAACAGGTACGCAGTATTGTTAAATGACAAAAAGTCGGAAAGAGGATAAAGAGCGAAAAATAGCAGTAGTCCTGGAATCAGTTTGTCCTCGCTTAGGAGACCGAATGAGTGCAAGTACTGGCGATCATCAAACCATAACGCACCGCCATGGAGAGTTCGGACATTTATATGGGCATTGATCGTGAGTGTTCTTGAGGCTGGTGTAATAGTTTGTGCCATTTTTGCAGAGTTTTTCCAGTGGATTCGGGGTCTGAGTGAAATTCACCGGCCGAAGGGTGTGTTTAAGATCTACGCTGGGCTGTATCCAATCGTGTTCCTCTGCACGGCGGAAACAGCAGAGGTAAGTCGTTGGGTGCTGTTCCAAATAAAGTAAACAAGAATAAGCACAGAACAGCTAGAGAAGGAGACATCTATGTACAAATTCGCACAATTGCGTGTCCTTGTACTGATAGTAATGTTGAGTTAGAACTGCTATTTGTTTAATGGTATTTCAATTTTATATAGGCAGAGTTTATTGGAAGAGATGAATTCGCTTTTCTTAATCGACGATGTCACATCTGAAATATAGTAACAACAAATGAATGCCGAATCTCAGCGTCTTTAACTTTTTAGACAGATAATCCTAACCATTATTGCTGGCACAAAAAACTTCGCGAAATAATTTTAAAAATCGTTTGTTGTTAGACTAGTTGGTGCATTTCACCTAGAAAAGAATAACCTGCTAGACTTGACACGCACGCGTTCGCAGACTAGCAACTAATGTTCATTCTACGCAGCTATAGGTACAGTTCCGTCGAATGCAGACAGCTATATGTATAGTCCTGTGAAAGACACCTATATATACATCCGATAGAAACCGTCATCGATCATGTGCGATACAAAGAAAACTTGCAATGATCTTTTCTTAAGAGAGAAGGGAAATGACATTGTTAGTGAATCTTCGGTCTTTTTGCATAATACCAAGATCAAGTTTATGAATGAGCGCTGTTCGGGTGCTGTTCTTTATGGGATTCTATTTCGTGGTGCTTTGTTATGGCGCACTTGCATAAAGATGGTTTGTGCCCACTGTACTTAAAAGTAGGCTGTATGGAATAAAAGATATTTGCAAGTCTGCGCGTGCGTGCGCGTCTGTTGAACTTGGCTTTCAGGATGCGCAGGATATTTCCCCTTTTTTTGAAGTAAAAATACTGAAACAGCTTGACTGATGTGTTCAACTTCAGTGCAACATGCGTCAACTTTAGGAGCCGCCGACTGAATAGGAAGGATGAGGTAATTTTTGTGGAAAAGTACCGCTTTCGTTTCGTGAATTATCGAATGGGCAATCAGATAAAAATCTCTTCAAGAAATTGGTTCAAAATGTTTAAACAATCAATGAAACACGTAGGAGATATACTGTTCCCTGCAGCGTAAGACCTGCTAAGTTGTGTGATGTAACAATGCGCGAGCCTACGGAGATCACCCAACTTAGAAGTCGCTATGTGACGCATGTTGAGTGAAAAACAAATTCAATATCAATCCCACATTTATAGTAAATAGTGGTTTCCCGTCCCTCAACCACGACATGATTCTGAGGGACACCGTTGTGGAGAGCTCCGGAACTTCTGACCATTTGATGTTCCTTACCGCACCCTCATATCGCACAGTACACGATCCTCTACAATTTCGCCTTCCCCGAAAGGCGACCACCGTGGCCGGTATCAAACCCGCGACCTTAGAATCAGGCCCCACCCCGGTCTTCTAGTGGCTAAGGTACTCGCCGCTGACGCGCAGGTTGCGGCATTAAATTCCGGCTTCGACGGCTACATTTACGATGGAGGTGGATATGTTGTAGGCCTGTGTGCTCAAATTTGTGTGCACGTTAAAGAACCCCAGGTGGTCGAAATTTCCGGAGCCCTCCACGACGGCGTCTCTCATAATCATGTAGTGGTTTTGGGATGTTATACCCCACATAGAATCAGTAGTCGAGCACTGTACACCCCAATTTACTGTGCCAAATGTTATCAAATTAAGTCGCTAATCTTTTGTGATAGAGCTCAGGAGCTCATATTTAATTTGCATTCTACAATAAAAAAGTGGGTTGAGGTTCATAGAAAGAATCAAGAATATTGTACGAGAGTAGCCTACCAGCCACGGTGGTGTAGTGGTTATGCATGATGCTCGACTACTGATACGAAGGTCTCGGTATCAAATGCAGGCCGCGGAGGCGTCATTGTCACCAGAAGCTGAAATGCCTCAGGCTCGTGTATTTGGATTTAGGTGCAATTAAAAAAAAAAGCACAGTTCACCAAAATTTTTGAAACACTTTACTACGGCGTCCCTCAAAGCCATATAGGCGTTTTTTGAGGTTACCTCTCGACAATAATTATTTCAGAAGTAGTGCATAATGATTGAAGGCCCTTGACAGCGAAAGCTTTGTTCGCGACTTTTTCAGATTACTCCGGTAATCCCGATATTGAATATTCAATGCTCTAACACATCGCATAATTATTGCTAGCGTCGTTAGTTCAGAAAAATTGTCCTTCAGCTCATAATGCCCGCCCAAATACGACAAGAAACTAGCGCGCAACGGCGGGGCGCGCTAGTGACGCTTCAGTGACGCTGAACTCGCGGTTATCATATCGAGGGGACTCGCGGTAGATGAAGATTGAAACGACAGGGGTTTCGAGCGTGTCCCTCTCAGAAAAAAAGAAAAGAATTCCTTACGTAAGGAGCCGAAACCACCTTGGAAGCTGCAAAACAACATACCAAAGGAGGTAAATAACAGTAGTCTTCGCCGGGTGTCAGTAGGCGTATTGTGCGCGCCCCGCAAAAGTTCTCTGAAGTCGACAATACTCGCCTTATTAGTGGAACGTCGTGCAGCGCCTCTGTCTTGGTCAAACCAGAAAATATGCTGACTGGTGCGAATACCTCATTCAGGCACTCTTTCTCGCTTTAAAACCAAATGAAACTATCTTATAGACAACGCTCATTACTAATAATCAGTTAGAAGTGCCCCCACATGCAGAACTCTCGAACAGCGAAATCAACTCGAGTTTCCAAAATTGATGTCACGGGTCCTTTAAAAGCAGCTGCTCAGATTTGCACTCGCTTTAAAATATGAACGAAATACCACACATACGCAAATGCTACTCTGTGGTTAGCAAACTGTCCCGTGTGAACCTTGTTCCTGCAGTCACCTAGAATGTTTACACACTGCTAGTAGATTCAGTTTATCATTTAACTCGTTATAGTGCCTCATTTTATTATTGACCCTAAAATAAAACAACACTGAAGGAACAATAGTGGCACACACAGTCAATGGCTCGCCATTTGAACTCTCAGGTCATGTCGATTCTCTATATTATGTACATGTACTGTAGGACGCCCTACATTATACTCACTTGTGCTTGATTACATTAGTGAAAGCAAGCACAAATTCGAGTCGCGCACGAACAATAGTTATGCACAAGGCCTTTTGTGCCGTAGAATAGGCGAGAAGCACAAAAATGAATAGGGCATATATAGAAGCGTTCCATGCCTGGTGATAAATCAGTAAAACTGATAATTCAGTCGAAATGGTGGTAACACTATATTGGTAGTGGTAGGGAGTTGTATATTTTTCAAATTTTTCCACCACGCATTGCTATGAAAGTTGCACTTTTAGAAATGCCGTGCGTACGCAAATGTAATTGCAGCCACTTCTTTCAAGTATGTCGAACCTGAAGAAGTCTGTTATCTACGACAACATGCACCCGTGGCTGGGGTCAGGAGGCCTTCTCACCAGGTAAGTGACCGGAAAGGTCTAAGAGCGAAAAACGCGGTTAATTTTACTGCGCAGCAATCCTTTCATGTTTTTGGCTCGTCACCCAATAGCTTCCAGTGATCAGTTTACACTCACAACTAGGAATATCGCCGCTTCCTGAAGGGCATAGTCGTAAACCTGTGCACTTTAGTGCTCTAGAAAAAGAAATATTCCAGTCACCGAACTGGCTGTTCACAAGATCAGGTATAACAGAATGCAAAAAAAAAAGTACCATCAAGGGCTTCGGCAAAGTATATAGTGAAGGAGGTACCTTACGAATCACGCTTACTTAAACACGTGCTTGACGCAAACTGTTAACATACTTGAACGGCACAGCTTTAGCTCAGTATTAGTTTCGACCAACTTATCACATCTTATCACATCGCATACATCTACAATAGCCTCAATGCGGTATAAACTTGCAATGTGAGGTCATGAAAGAGGCGTACACGCGTATATATACGCATGCACTAAGATTGTCGCACGTGCACAAACAGCCCATTCTTGAAGCAGGTAGTATAAAAATGCTAACTAAAATGATAGTGGTACACTGCAATTAGGGTGCATTAGAGAATGTCACTGTTGAATTTATTGGACTTATTTTATTAGTTACGTAGCGAGAGTTTTTGAGTGCACGGGGGCGTTTTTGGTGGCAAGAAAATAGTGCGCTTCATCGTACGATGTCAACTAAAAAGATCCTGGAAACGATTCGATTCCTTCATTTAAGAGGTAATCGAGGTAAAATGCATGCAATAGAATCTTCCGCGCTGTTTCTCATAATCCACCCCTACCGACGGAGACATTTCCCACAGCAGCTGCGCCGAGTTTCCTGTAATGATGCGAGCCGATTACTGGCGAAAGGCCCACGCTTATACAGGGGTGCTACAGCAAGCATTGCAAGTTAGTTGTGGCGCTGGGATTTGCGCATTCTTTATTCTCTGTGACAGCCTGTGGTTCTACTCAACTTTGTGCCAGAAAAAGACCTAACATCACAAAAGAACGCAGCGCTAGGCCTCTATGAACAGCCAGATTCCTTGTTCCCTATGCTTTACACGACTATAGTACACTTCTCTTCTTTTACTGCGACATAAATTATATGGAGACTCTCTGCGGGACCTTGCCGCCGGAGTCGACGTCGCCGTCACTCACAGTATATGTATCTTTATATATGTAAACGCAAGGATGAAAAATAGTCGAGAAAAAGACTCCGGCGCACGGAATCTAACGTAGGAGCTCTGCATCATGAATGCGAGGCGTTCGACATGAATGTGAGCCACAATGGAGCACCTTCTTTAACGTTTAAACGCAAGCTATTTATATCTACCACTTACCCACGGGGATAACGCAATATTTCGAAGAGTGTGAACAATTTTATTGTGATACCGGCATCTCGAGGAAAACTATCGAGTTTGCAGCATTACTATCAAGAAGGCGCCGCGCGCTCTTTCCCACCCGTACTTTGCCTCGCGGTGAGGAGGGGGGGGGGGGGGAATGGATGCTTTCTCGCGCGCCCTTATCTCGCGGCGGGGAGGATTGTACGGCTCGGCTGACCTCAGGCTTTCCCTGCAATGATTTTCTTGTAGTTACCGGGCGGCCAAAGGTCCCTGCAATCATTGCACAGTCTCTATTTGTGAGAAGGGAGTGCTTTTCAGACACAGCGAAGTAACAACTGAGACGCCTATTCGCGTTCATCTTTACTTATGAGTACATTTTGTGCGTAATTTGTGCGTGAGAAACGCGGGGCACGTTTTGATCTTTTTTCCATTCAGGTCGTGACCTTCCAATTTAATGCTATCGCGTTCATTGCTTTGCCTTTGTTGCAAAGCTGTAGCATTTTTTTTTCTTTTAGTCAAAGTCTGTTACACGTACAGTATTCAGTACAATGTTACGACATGCTCATTAACATAAGAGCAAATTATGATTAGTTCTGAGAAGTCAGTTTTTACGCGCATTATTTCTATACCCCATTAAATAGTATCTTTTTTATAAGTCTGCATGGAAATAAACCTGTGTTGTGTTTTACTTTTTCTCCTATTTTTATGCTCAACTGCCACATGTCAAATCTATGAATCGAATTGGCTGGATTGTTTTTGCATGTGTGTTAAATTTAGGACGTGGAGTGCTGCAACGAACAATCTATACCCTATATTCGTACCCTATATTATACACACCAATAGTTGCCGCTGAAAAAAATTACCCTGGAAGTGATCCCTGTGTGTTGTGTGATAATGGAGCTTTGCATCAGAAATCGAAAGTGGCTGCCGAACCCTTGGCTAAAAAAGAAGCATGTGCTTATTAAAATCCTGCTTGTTTTTTATAGACAAGGAATGAATAGAATGAAAAAAAGACTTTATTAGACAAGAAAGGTGGTCTAAATATCCGGAGCCCTCCACTAAGACATCTCTTATAATTATAATGTGGTTTTGGGAGGTTGAACCTCACATATCAATCAAATTTTCAGACAGGCAAGTGCCTAGCGTGCGCAAATGCAACACAATGTCTCTAGCGTCCCCGGCCTAATCTCTGTTCATTGGACGCGATTGTAATTGCGGTGCGCGACGCCTTTACGCAGCTATGGAGACCGCTGGCGGCAACACCGGAAGCTACTCACGCCAGCGTTTCACTTTCGGGTGCTGGATAATTTTCTGCCCATCATTAACGAGCAGGGTGACCGGCTAGTCCAGGAGCTGAGCCAGCTGGCGAGCGAGACCTACGTCAACCTGTTCCCCACGCTCTCAAAGTGTGCCCTGTCAACGATCTGTGGTGAGGCTCCTTGAGGGGGTAGACTGAATACGCAAACGAGGCAAACCTTGATAAATATATAGCTTTCCTGAAGACACCATATCCACTCGGACAACAGATTTAACCATCATATTCATTCTGTTTCAAGGAAAGCCACTTATATGACACTGAACGACGGAAATCTCTGTTTGATTGCTTATGCACGAACACATCGTCATTATCATGATCATGTCCAACAGACGATGCCTCATGCGAAAACTGCATTCTTTCAACAGGTTAGATGAGAGTTGCGTATCTATAACAGCAGCTGGTCATTACTTTCGAAGCACAATTGCTGGGTACACAGGGTCTTAAAAATGGCTCTGAAAACTTTATAAAATAAAGCAAATACCATAATTTCTTGATGCCTTCATAAGAACCTTTTCTGCAGCGGCACACAAGTTTACATGAACAGGGACGTCTACCACCACAGTAATTATTATGTTTGTTAACGCGTTAATGGTCTTGCTGCTAACGTTCTCACCTTTAAGGGGTGCGATACAATTGTACTTTGGAGCAAATACAATTATCTCGTTTTCCCATTTTTATTGCAAGAAAATGATGCGTTATCACCCGTGGGATAACGCAATATTTCGAAGAGTGTGAACAGTTTTATTGTGATACAAAATTTCTGAAGAAACATAGTAGCTAGCGGCTTTCTGTTGTTACCACCCAATGTTCGTAGCTTTAACAGTAATATAAAAACCTGCGCTGGCCAATAGAAATGGCCTGTTTTTCTGATGGTATTATTTGGGTAATCACACCTGCTTTCAACTGTATATGGCTAGAACACTTCCTGTGTAGGGTCAGTATTCTGTGTATGGTCGTGCGGATGTGGGAGTCTCTTATCGTGCTGGCAATAGTATTCTTAAGTAACGGTGATTAATTATTTTTATGGTGACTACTACTTATTCTGTATTCTGTACAACTGAACAAGAGAGATGACTTAGAGATCTTGACTGCGGGGTGACTTGGAGCGTTAGTGTGTGGCCGTTGATCTACAAAAAACTCTGAAAAGAATAAAACCCTATAGATAGGATAGGCACAATAGCCTATCCTCAACGTTTTTTGCTGTCCTGTGTTCTGGAGCACTCCGTTCTTTTTTTTTTCATTGACTACTTAGAGAGGTCGCTGCCAAATGATTACACGTACACCAGTTTCGCATATCTGATGCTGAAACAACTATATAGATATATTTGTTCCGGCATCATCTATGCGAAAGTGGTGTGCGTGTTACTGGAACGGTTGTAACAGCTTGCCTGAAATCTTCCGTTGGTACGTTTGCTTTGTATTGCTACAGAAACTGCCATGGGTCTTAAAGTCCACTCTAAGGAAAGTACGAGCGCAGTTTACGAGTACGAACGGGACTTAGAAACGTGAGTATTGCATAGGTTATTATCTTTCATCCGGCCTCCCATTGTGGGCGTGGTGGAGCGGGAATAGCAATGATAGCTGTACGTAAATAATGCAGCGGGGGAACACAACGAAAGCCATAGAATGGGTCCTCCGTATTGCATGCCATTATTTATCTTTTGCGTATACGTATACAGTATAAAAAAGCAATAAACATTCAAATAATGAAAAAAATATCGAAATGGTAACGGTGTTGCGCATGCAGGGGAGTTGGAGATAACGCAGGTTGAATCACGGCCACATCGGCCACGATTCAAAGAAGTCAAGAAGCGAATACCGTGAAATTAAGGTGCATATTATACAGGATGCCAGGTTATATTCTTGAACTGTGCGACCCCGTCTCCACAATCATATCAATAAAAACATTGGCACACCTCATAACTGGGCGGTGTCAGTTGCCACTGTAAATTGCTGTATTTAATTAGTTTACTATTCTGGTTTTCTGCAGGACAGTTGTAAAGCGTTTTTGAGCGTTATTCCACTGCCACTGCGTTCCCATTGGCCGACTAGTTATTGATAGACCCGAAGAAGTGGGTAAGGGCAGGATATATGATGCTTGTAAAAAAAAAAAAAAACTCGTGAAACTAACTGTAAAAATCACGACTGCAGCAGTTCAGTTTGCTCAGTAAGATTAAATCACTGGAACGGAACGAGCTTACTTAATAATTCATTTCTTCACCGTTTTTGCGGATTAGAGCAGACTCGAAAACGGCCAATTGAGCTGACAACAGATATAATTAATTATGGTTATATTTAACCTCCTACCCCGTACCCTTGATAAGCCAGTGGTATCCAGCCCATATTTATCTCTAAAAATACTGTATATGGTCCCGTAAGGAGCATACTCAGGAACTCTTGTGAACTTGTGTAGGGAGCGCCACCTCTCAAACGTAAAAAACTCTTGTCGCAAGTAGTTTGCTTACCTCACCATCAGATGGTGCTGCAGACTGGCAGCAGCGCAGAGGCTGAGGGCGGGTGTGTATATTAACGAGCCGTCTCGAGGCTTTTCCGGAAATAAAAGAAAACGCATCGAAGAGAACCAACAATCACCGTGTGACAAGGAAAGTGCCACGCAAAGCGGCCTTCTACGGAGGGAAAAAACAAAGCGAAAACGGGTCATGGCTGTTTGTGGACGCGGCACGTGTTCGCGATTGTGTCGACAACCTTCACGAGGGGCCCCGACGTCAAAGACGTTTCACGAAGGGAGGCAATGAAGGACAAAACAAAATATGGAATACCTGATAATTGGCAATGTGTGTTATTCAAAATACTTTGGTCATTATGACGCACGTCACCGGTCATGCATATTGTGTCCAAGCGGGCATTTTTAATGTTTATTGAGAGCAATGACGCCCTGCATATGTATTCAGCTAAAATTCCTGCGTTTTTGCATCGAAAGCACCAATTCTAGAGGAAACGAAATAAATATTTAAATATTGAAACTTGCGAGCCCGTATCATGAACTGATTGTGCGTGACGGCGTTGGTAGAAGCTCTAAATTATTTATGAAAACTTTGTGTTCCTCCTTTTTTTCATTCATTATAATTTTTCATGCTTCGTCTCAATTACTGTTTACTTTATCACGTCCAAGCTTCAAATAAAAGGGCAAATAATCGTTCCTATCATTTCCTTGACTGTATTTTGCATAGGCTTCCTGTTGTACTAAACAAGGAAGCGTACCCATCGGTTTCATCATGTGCACGTGAGTCTAAGTACTCGTGTGGGTTTGCCGTTCACTCCCACAGGAAATTCCTTTGCCGCACAGGATTAGAATGGAGAGATCTGACAACTGCTTGTATAACAAACAACTCAGGTGTAGCAATACTTACTCGTGACCCTGATCTTAAGAATCAGGTTAAAAATTAAAAAAACAAAGTTCTCAGAAATTTTTCATCCTTGTCAGTTGGTGAGCACAATAGTCTTTCCTATATTACCAAAAAGCTGCAACATAAGCATCGTTCGCTAGTGGAAGTTTTAGCCAATCCCCACGCTGTCTGTACCTTTACCAAAGCCGGACAGTTAATAACAAAAAGCTTCTCACAAATAGAAAGCTGCGTGTATGTGGAACTTGAAAACTGAATTACGTGATTTCCCATGATTTAAATCGGACAAAAGAAATTTGTACAATCTAGATTCAATGTATGGCTGTTTTATGGATATCTTGATCATATATTGTACTGCATATGATTGCTTTTGTGTTGGTTTGTAGTTCATGTTTTAAGACATTAAGACCTCTCCTTGTGGTTCGATATTCACAGCGAATGAGGAAGTACTGCTATCCTCAAGTGTGTCAACAAGCGCGTATGGCGCAACTTAATAGGCACGGAAACTCGGCAGCAGTAACGCAACTATGATTGCACTATAGTGTCGCTATCTTCTTACCGGTGCAAACACGTGGCAGGTCAACATCTGATCTTTGCTTGGTTTTTGCGATACCGTGTGTACATCGTGTCTTTGTATGCTGATCGTTGGCACACCGTATTTCCAAAGAGAGAGCTACAGCTATAGCAGCGCTCGACTGTCGCCACTCTTCGCACTACCAGGTTGCTCAATAACCATAAAGCTATTTCGTGAAAACTTTCGCATGAGCTTGGGCGTTTAAATAAGCTTAACATTTCAGCACCTGCATATTGTATATTACGTAGCAAGCGCAGCCCTTCTGTCACCGAAATGATATGCTTGTGCGCAAAATGTTGACTGGCAAGGGGCAGGTTGGCTGTGTTGGTAGCCTATAAAATTTTAAACTGTTGCACTGCAATAAACAGACAAGGACCAGGGGGGCGTTTTGCTGGATGTGCTGAAGGGGCAGTACATGAAACTCCTTTGGGGCGGCAAAATGTACGTTGGCGAATCAGGAAAATGCGTAAATGACAGGTTAAGAGAGCGTGCTAAGCTTGTGAAAAATGAGCGCGAAGAAAAAGCGTGATGGATTTTTATCTAGCCACTGTTTGCGTGTCAGGATAGCTCGCCCAACTTGAAACACACTTCTGTAATCAAGAGAGAGAGAAACATTCATTTTGGCCCCGCCGCGGTGGTCTAGTGGCTAAGGTACTCGGCTGCTGACCCGCAGGGCGCGGGTTCGAATCCCGGCTGCGGCGGCTGCATTTCCGATGGAGGCGGAAATGTTGTAGGCCCGTGTGCTCAGATTTGGGTGCACGTTAAAGAACCCCAGGTGGTCTAAATTTCCGGAGCCCTCCACTACGGCGTCTCTCATAATCATATAGTGGTTTTGGGACGTTAAACCCCACATATCAATCAAATCAGAAACATTCATTTTGTAAAGCTTGTGAGTGAAGCTGGGAGGGTCCCTTGTTCCAAGAACCCTCTGGCCTGGACTACCCACCAGGCTCGAGCACCGAGTTCAGACTAATAGACCAGGTTAGGCTGGGAGATTGCAGCCTCTCACGCTTCACTGAGAAGGCTTGGGTCCGCATCTTTGCAGCTGCTTTTAGCCTTCGGACGCATACTTTGCACTTTGTATAGGAGGGGCGCTAGAGTATCTACCACATCGAAGTGTGGGCAGATGTTATAGTGGTGCAACATTTGCCTCATATGGTGCAATAATATTCCGTGGATGAACGTGTTGCTTTGAAGGCGCCTGTAGTCAGGGCATTCGTCTCTTGTGAGTTTTGCATCTCATGGAGAGGAAAAAACAAATGTATTAAAACAGTTTATTCTGAGTACATCTGCGATTTCGGCGAGAGTTGCGTTAGTGTCACCTCCATATAGCTTTTCGATAAAGAGCTGGCATTTTTACGCCAGTGCCGCGGCGACATTCTGTACCTAACAGCGTGCACGTATACGTGCGAATTCAAAATAAATCTTGTTCAAAGTTTAGCGTTCCTCCTCGTCAAATCGTTTCGTCCCTATCATGTTGATTTCGCTGCAGGTTTTTGAAACGTCTGCCTGCTTAAGTTTTTCATCTCGTCTTGCGGGAATTATTTACTCAGAACAAGCGCCCCTAACGCTAGGCGACAATGTTGTCGTCAAGCTGTCATGCGGTGCATCTAGTATTCACAGTGCTTACGTGGAAAATAGAGAGTAGAAGGGAACGTCACCATGTTGTGTCTGTACGTCATACAGATGGGACGCGTCGCAAGTTGCTTAGTTGAGCCTGAACTCAAAAGGCAATGAACGAAGTACATCAGTTAATCCACCCTCACGGCGTCCCGCTGGCGCGCTATACGCGTTTTTGAAGCTCCCATCTCGGTTTGGAAAAACACTTAAATCTCTCGGCACGTTTGGGCACACACTTAAACAGCTTCTCTGGGGCATCCTTTCTGTAAATGAGTGCGAGTGCGTGCTACATAGGTTGTGCAGCCGGATTTCTTCAAATGTGCATGGTGAAACAACTAAAAGGTATGTAATCAAAATGCGATATTCTAAACAAAAACAAAAATGAGCGTCCTTAACGTGAAGAAAGTGAAAAAAAAAATAATGAGAAGTTTGACAACTACGTGCGCTATTATGATAATTGTTGCAGTTTAACGTCACAGTATGATTATGAGCGATGCCAAAGTGGAGGGCTCCAAAACTTCTAGCACCTGGGATTGTTTAGAGGTGTCATTACACGGCCGCACACCAAACTGGGGTATTCTGTGAAAAATAGACGTAGAGCGTCAATTATGCTTGTACGTATATAAAAAATGAACTGTATAAAAACATTTCATTGTGAAATAAGGCCTAAAAGTCACTGGCTATATAAATCTTGCTCACTGCTGGAGAGCGCCATTTTGGTCATTGTGTCTGTGACGCCCTATACTTCAAAGAGTGCAGTCGTCATCTTCTGCTTAAATTTCAGTCCCTGCTCATTCTGCTTAAATTTTAGTCCCTGTTTCTTCCCAAAATGATGCCCATCGCATAATTTTCGGGGGGAAGCTGAAGACAGCAGTAATAGCTCCATGGTACGCGCAGCTGACCACGAGACAAAATCGTTGGCCAGAATACAGACGCTCGCAATGCAAGCGCTTTGTGAAGTCACGGCTCGTGAGTGCGCTAATGTTGTCGGGCTATCGAGCCGGTCGCGTGTTTACAAAGATATGTAATAAATATTGGGTGCTCGACTAAATGGGCTCCAATTTCACAAGCTTGTTTGTGAACACCCAATGATTAACTGACATAATAGAGAATATAAGCGAAAATTGTTGTCACGGCCCCTTTACGAGAACAATATATAGATAAGCAGACCTCAAGCATTTCGCCTTCATTGAAATGCGGCCAGCGTGGCCAGGATTTGATCCCATGACATTCGGGCCAGCAGTCGAGCACCTTAACTACGAGGCGACTGTGACGGGTTAGCTACGCGTATTTAACCTCTATCAGATAATGCCCATAAGCTACTTTGTTGAGCCACTTCTGATAAAATGCCTCAACAAATTCAGGTGAACGAAGCTGCGGTTGCTTTGGCAACAGCTCACACCCAGGCGAAGTATATATTCTCCCCGATCTAAAACAGTCATTTCTAATTTCCCTGTGGGTTGAATTCATGCACCCGCCCAGCGCATCTTTCAATTCCTCCGTCTTCATGATCTAATATACACAATTTTGTAGGTTCCTGAATATTGTGGTCATTCCGGGAATGCAATAGTCCATGAACAAGCTCGATTAATAGTCGATCAAGTAGTGGACGGCCTGCCCCCTTTTCGCAACGCCCAGGAATGCCTACTCACCTACAATAAAAGTGCATTGCATTACCGCGATTCCGCACATTATGTTGCTGTCTCAGGCTGAGCAAAACGTTTGGTGCGGACTGCAAACACGCTCATTGAACTCCCACTTTACCAATTTTACAATTGACCAGTGTGAAATTTTGCCCCATTATATACTATAGTCTGGGCTCCTGTCCGCGAGCTGACATCACTCATATATATAAATTGCTTTTGCAAGCCCCATCCCCCTTTGTGGGGCCTGAGTGACGGGAGCGTTTGGAGGCTGGTCTGCGCAGCTCATGACTGGAAGACCACCTACGGGTCGTGGGGTGGGCCACGGGAGTCACCGACACACAAAGATTTCCGGCCACCTAGTGTCGCCTGAGAGACCATCGCCTTCTTCTTCCCTGACAACTTACCCCCCTCACTAGACCCATTCTTGGTGTCAGTAAAGTGTTATCCTCATCCTCTTTTCCAAAGAAGCAGTGGGTATTAAGCCTGTTTAATCAAATCGTTTTCCTGCGCTTCTAATATAACTCGTTAAGCCGGAGTAGGAAGGGACGTATACTGTAATGACGCCTGCTCATCTGTCCCAACTCGGCCTTTGTTCGTGGTGTCAGCTATGCTTCGGAGTGGACGCCCGGAAAACAATGGGGAACGGGACCAACGCGTGCCGCGAGTCACGTACAAGAGCCTGCCTGCCAGCCGAGCTCAATCTTTCCGCTATGGCTTGCACTTGGAATGGCGCCGCTAAATTTTCCTTCTCGCTTTAAGAAGACAGACAGAAGCATGCTACTTAATTCATCACCTCGTGTCATAATGTTATGAATTTGAAGAAGCTAACCACACTCAGGTAAACTAAAGTCGTAATAACGAGTAAAATACCGGAAAAGTTTTTTAGTAAAACACCAATAATACGTGAAGTTCATTTGATACAATCAAAGAACCTTGTTTAAAACTCTGTCATGTTTATAATTCAGTTCGAAACTTTGTGTTAGATCAACTGGCAAGCTTGAAATTGGAGAAGGATAAGCAAATACAGGGAGATACTTTTATTAGAGTACCTGGCTTGCTGACTGTTCTTGACTGGGATGAAGGGAACGTGTGAAAAAGATGAAAACTTACGACAATCGTAGGAAAAATATAAACAAGAAACTGCCCGCACAAGTATGATTAATGCGTCTGATGATGATGGTGATGTATGAGCTCAACTGTATAATGGTTTTGTTTACTTGACCTAGAGACAGTGTGATCGTTGCAACTTTCTAGTTTACAATGAGTTTTGCACTGTGCAACGTTTTTTTTTACCTGGAAATGTGTGTATAAATGTATGTATGTGTGTATTTGTTTATATATCTATACTGTCGTGTGTATGACCAAAACATGCTAATTGATATGTATTCACCGCTACCATGCGATACATGTAACTTTCCCATCTGCCCTCCTGCTTGGTCCTTATAGGACTGCAGTATGTAATAAATAAATAAATAAAATAAAATAAAGAAGAAGAAGAAGAAGAAGAAGATGATGATGATGATGATGATGATGATTATGATGATGATGGTGACGATGATGATGATGACAAAGATGATGATGCTATGTGGGGTTTAACGTTGATAATGATATGTAGGGTTTAATGAAAATAGGGCACTGTAAAACTGCAATAGGTATGACGTTGGGAAAGGGATTTGGAAAGGTGTTATAATCCCGGGTTTGTCGTTCGGCAAAGCGCTTTTGTGCATGAAATCAGAGTTTCAAGCAATATTGGAGGTTTAAACAACGTGGCATAGGTGGACTTGCTTTGGGAGCACACGGGAATATCCCAAATTAAGGGGTGCATGGTGACATGGGATGGATATCTTTTGGGGGAAGGGAAGCTAGCAGCAAGATAGAATTTGTGGATTAATTGATTTAAACGTGGGCTTTAACGTCCCAAAACCACTATATGTTTATGAGAGGCACCGTAGTGGATGGCTTAAAAACTTTTGACCCCCAGCGGTTCTTTAACGTCCATCCAAGTCTGAGCGCATTGTCCTACAACATTTCCGCCTCCATCAGAAATGCAGCTGCCACAACCAGGAATCAATCCCACGACACGCGGGTCAGCAGTCGAGTACCTTAGCCACTAGACCGCCGTGGTGGGGCGATCGAAGCGCCTGACTATCCTATTAGCCACTTATGCAGTTTCGGAGCTCATGCCATACCAACTAGCCCAAGCTGCCACACTTCTAAGTTCCAGCCGCGGTGGTCTAGTGGCTAAGGTACTCGGCTGCTGACCCGCAGGTCGTGGGTTCGATTCCCAGCTGCGGCGGCTGCATTTCCGATGGAGGCGCAAATGTTGTAGGCCCGTGTACTCAGATTTGGGTGCACGTTAAAGAACCCCAGGTGGTCAAAATTTCCGGAGCCCTCCACTATGGCGTCTCTCATAATCAAATGGTGGTATTGGGACGTTAAACCCACAAATCAATCAATCAATCACACTTCTAAGTTACAAATAGGCACACATCAGGACTGTCAGAGTAACTCGGTCAGCATTTAGTGGAAGACTAGAGGGAAATGATTCTGTTTTCCGTTTAGGGGTGGATGTCAAACTTCTCGAGTCTATTGCATAGCGTTGCTGTGCGTGTACTCAGCAGAAAATGCGGTACAAGCATGGCGAATGTGTGAAAACAACCTCAAGTGCTCCTCATGAGACACCCCCCCCCCCCTCTGGGCCTGATAAGAAGTTCAGGGCACCTAACTCAGACCATTTTCTTTCTTCTTCGGCTTTTTGTTGAAATTTCTAAGCAAAAATTGACATGCCAGGCCACTCATTCATTATGCGTTTATTTCATGCTTAGGCTGCCCAGGGTGTACAGTTTAATAAGTCAGCGTAATGATCTGCACGTAGCCATAACATGCGCCAACTGCAAGTGGCATGCTTTTTCCTAAGAATATTACCACTCTTCTCAGGTTTCTGGGCCCTCTTTTGGCGTGTCCTAATTATATTGGTCTACAAAGAACCTTGCCACAAGCACACCTGTAAAAGTAGGCCTAACACAGCATCTAAAGAGCTCTGTTCTTAACGAGTGAGTAATCTACAGTAATGAATATAATGAGCAGCTCAAACACTCAAGACAGTATATGGTTACATTTTACGTCAGATTGGCATCTCAAGTTACCAGCATGCATGTGTGAGTGAAATAGGGCAGGGGGGAGGGGGCCCTTTTTGTTAGTTGAGCTTCCCCCTTTCGGGCACGTCAATGAACTGTAAGCAGTTTCGTGATCTTTATGTTTCTTTCTCGGCTTATTATCTTCCATTCATACTCTCATCCACTGTAGAGCCATCAAGCTCTTTATGAAGCGGGTGTTGCAGCCATGGACCTGGCTCGATGTGGTGTACTCGGCAACATCGAGGGGAGTTAAGTTCGGAGAGGTGGTCAAGAGGCTGCACTGCTTCACAACCAAGGTGACGTCTAGTTACGCGTATAACAGGCAACACACTGGGTCTATACAAAGCTTGTTCGTGCTTTATGGCTAAAGTAATTGCAACTACCGGTGAGAATAAAAGTTATAAAGAAAACGATCACAGTTGGGAAATCAACATATACACACACGACAAGCTTGTGTATGCCTCACCCTGATCGTCACGCGTCTTTTTTTATTGTATGTTTCAATTCAATATATCGTATTAACATTCGCACCTACTTGTCTGGTTGCAATTAAAGTCTAGGAAACCTGCGTTGGACAGTAACGAAGTGCCATGGTGAGAATAACCATTCGTAGCTCTTATTTCCTTTCTGTTTCTTCAACGCCACCTTGCCTGCGTGAAGAGGTTTGTATATGGAAGTCCGAGTTTTTGACTGCACTACTCATGCCATCGTCCTAATCTCTAAGTAAATCATCAAATCAGTGAACATATCCCAACTTTCGGGTCCGTTTGTGACCTTTTTTGTTCTTTGAATCAAAAGTAAAGAAGTGGTACAACAGAGAAAAAATTCCACACAACTTACTAAAGCACCTCACCCTGACTTAAGACAGCGTGATTCGCTTTAAGTATACCTCACATTTGAGATAATTGCGACATAGCTGAGCTGTCCAACGATAAGGCAGTGACAAAAAAGTAAGAGAAAAAACTAAACAAAGAAAGTTAATGAGTATTGAAGGACACAAACTTTTATTGTTCTACATTTCCAGAGTCAGTACGGCGTATCAGATTGTTTGCAAGCGTGAATCAAAATCGCTAAATCAAAGTTGCGCCGAAAGAAAAAAAATATGTGACAATTGTCAGGTGCGCGCTATCACACGAGCGACACCGTCATGGAGGGATTGAGCAACAATCCCGCGAGAAGCGCCGGCGTTACAAAGATACAAATTATCTTGCTACCAGCAGACGCCACATCATGGTCTTTCATTTTTTTAAATTTTTTTGTGCAATGCAGGTCATAGTTGAACGTCAAAAAGCCGAGGCCGCCAGGCATTCAGCGGGGAATAACGAAGCCAAAGAAGGTGTTCTCGATATCGACGGTGGCGGTGGCAAGGCCTTGGTGGCGCCACATGACACTGCCAGTGCCCTCACCGAAACTGGTGCCGAGCGACCGGCATTCCTAGACCTGCTCTCCCACTACTACCGACAGGGCATCTTCAGTGTGGAAGATATGAGGCAGGAGGTTGACACCTTCATGTTCGCGGTGAGCGCATGCGCTGATTATCTACAAGGGTACTATAGAGACCAAGGGTCAAAGTGATGGATCACTTTTGTTCGCAATGCGTCCGAAAAGTGGCTCAGGTACTTCGAGCTATCCCTAGTAAAATAGCGGCCCGAATTTTTTAAAGTACAAACAGCACGGACACGCACAAAACAGATGTCGCTAGTGGAAAAGCCATCATGAACAGGGACACTAGATTTTGTTTCCTCTTGATTAGAGTAAAACATCTTCCGCCTCTGCCGACCCCCCCTCACGTGCCGCTGTCGCCTGCCACCATGTTTTTTCTAACCTCAGAGGTTTACATAGCGACACAGGCGGATCTTCCTGGCAAAAGTGAACGATAAACGCGCCCCGCCAGCCCCGCTTTCTCAGCTGGCTGTGTCTGCCACTTTTCGGAGTGACCTGCTAGACCATGCATTTTTTGTAAGAGCGTGGTTGCCGGAAACGAGTGTCCCCCACTAAGGTTACACATCGGTGTTTATTTGTTTTTCGCTACTTAAAAGAAAAGAGGAAAATATTTAGGGGTTGTTGTCTTCAGCAGATCACATGTTCATTTCTGCAGGTGCGCTTATATCGATTAAAGTTTTTCTAAAGATTCGCCTGAGAGATAACACTGCATAGTATACCACTTTTTGAACTAGTTAGCTGAAGCATCCACAGCACGCTGTGGCGGCGTCTGGCAACGATGATGAAATGTCACATTAGCAAAACAGCACACAAAGCATAACAGCAAGTGCAGAAAACGTTTCCAGTGCAACCGTAGCCTGCGATGCTGTTCCATTGTTGGCAATTCACACCCTGTCGTACTGTCTCGCTTGGACTCTTCATAACAACAAACAAAATTATAAAGAATGAACAAGCAAACAAAACGAAGAACCAATGCTGCGCTGCGCGTCTGCGCCAATCTCGCTGACTATCGTAATCGTAATGCGCTGACATAACGTGTGGCCTATGATCGCGTGCTATAGTTTAAAATTTGTGATGCTGTAGCGGTAAGAACGTGCTGTTGGGTGGCATTACTCTAACAGCACCAAACGCTTTCTAGATTATGCACTTCAAACGAACAGCGGTAGACAGCACAAAATGGAGTGTATCGCTGTGCCTTGTAGGGCCTGACCTGAAGGGTCGTGGGCGCAGCCTGAACTGGTTTTGACATAATGTTGTTAGTATTAGTGCAACAGGCTATCAGACCCGGCATAGTCATTGAATATATATTGCATTCTTCACTATCTTAACTAAATGGTGAATGCGGCCTGATCTTCAAAATCAGGCTTGTTATGGCTATATAATAACAGTGGATGTGTCTTTATAGATTTATACTCTTGTCCGCGAACCATGTTCCTGCTGCAACTCTACTGTTCGTTATTTAGTTACCGTATATTTAGGTCAATGAGTACGTCGATCCCCATGACTGTAAATGTTACCTCGCGCATTCGAAGTATTGTAAGGCAGGTTTATTTAAAATTAAGTACGTGAGCGATTGTCATTTTGTTTCACAAGTTCGACGCGGAATATTTTGAAACCCATACCCTGCTCTCGCTGGTTCTACATGGATATGCTTTGCAAACGCACAACTACAACGTTTGTCAAAGGGCACACGGGCAATTTAGATCATGCGTAAAAATGTACGGTGAAACTGCTCTGGAGATATGACACAGTTGAAACTATCTGTTAAGGCCCTGTTAACTAAGTGCCTCATACCCACACCCTCTGAATATCGTTGCTTTTCTATATATTTATGTAGAGCAAGGTCTTACAAATATTTCATGATGCCTCATGGCTTTGCTGTAGGTTTATTGAGGGTGTGCGTCATTCACAACTTATCATGTTATTTAAAAGATAATATTGGAAAAACGATGACATATCAGATTTATTGCTGCAGATGCCAGGTTTGACCGGAAAGTGCAAGAGAAGGAGTATCCTCCGCCGAAGTTCGCTTGGACGAAGCTACCTAAAATTGGACAAATCTCAAATAAATAAATACAAAAACACTTAAATGATTCTTGATTAAAACCATTTTCGTAAGAAACGTGCCGAGGAACAACTCTAGGTTCTAGCGTGCTCGGCTGCTGACCAAAGGTAGCGGGTTTGATCCAAGCCGCGGCAGTCGCCTTTCACTGGAGGTGAAATGGTAGAAGCCCGTGTACTGTGCGAACACAAGATGGTCAAAATTTCCGGAGCCCTACACTACACGGCATCTCACAAAATCATGTGAGTTTGGGACGTAGAACACCACATACTGTTATAAAATTTGGGCTCAAGCGGTGGCGCAAGCGTGAAGAAAAAAGAAAATATTAAAAAATAATGATGGCGGTATACAAGAAAAAACGTACAAAATATGGGAATAAAAAGTCAAGTCGTTAGAACATGGCATAATACTATAGGCAACAGAAATATCAGTGAACAATAATGCAAACGTTTTTTTACAGTCAATAATGTGCAAGTTAGACCGAAATTACAACGGAGAAATATGAACTTCAATAATGTGTGAAACTACTTCATAACACACGAGAGCTCAGAAAAATTGGTTGGACAGTGAAAAAGACTCAGATGAAAGTAACATGCAACAAAAATAACACAAGCAATAATAAAAAGAAAGGCAAAAACAAGATATGAATTGCAATAATATGCGTAATTTTAAAATCAATGAATCTGAGCAGCTCAAGGACATTATAGATGTGATGCTGTGAGGTTTGAAAACATATTTCTTGGGCTCTTCAGGGTGTCGTTGATGATAAATTATTCGAAATGGCAATGATTTCACGGTACTATAAGAACACCGTTAGTCGTTTTCGTGAAGCTTTGACTGTTAGTTTTTTTTTCTGGGGCCACACTATGGCTTTACCATTCAAATTAGAAATGACATTCCATTGAACTGGGGGAACAGCAATTACAATGTAAGATGCAGGAGGAGGAGGAGGAGGAGGATGGAAGGAGGAAGGCCAGGGAGGTTAGCCAGTTCTCGGACTGGTTGGCTACCCTGTGATGGAGAAGGGGGTGAGGGGAGTAACAAAATGATAGAAAAGAGACGTTGAAGGAAATCAAAAAAGATAAAGTTAGCAGTACGATCTACGACGCTGTTTACAGTGTGGCTCTAAGACCAAGAAGCGCAACAACGCTCTTAATGCCTTGCGTGCCGAGGACGGTCTCGGCCAGTGTCCTAATACCCTTTCTTCTGACAATTGGCGTTTGTCTAGTCTATCTAAAACTTTAGACAGTTCTTTTCTTGGCGCACTGAAGCGAAGACACTTGCAGAGAACATGGAAAAATGTCTCCGCGCAGCCATAGTTGTCGCATATAGGGCTGCTCCTCATTCAGATTCGAAACGAATAAGCATTGGTAAAGGCCACCCCAATCCAGAGACGGCACAAAAGAGTCTCCTCAGCTCTGGTTATTCCTGATGGAAGACATAGCTGTAGGTGTGGGTCCAATTTATGGAGGCGGACGTTGGTGAATGCCGGTAAATTCCACTAAGTGAGTGTCAGTTCTCGTGCAAGTGATTGAAACCTTGTAGCGACGTCCGTTCTTGATAATGGTATAGCTGCATAAGAGGCATCATCATGAGCAGATCGGGTCTTCATCTGCTCGGTCACTTCCATCTATGCTGCAGTGTCCAGGTGTCCATTATTACGCTATGTCATGTTGTTTCTCTATAGCCCGGTGATGAAGCAGTCTTATTTCAGCTACTAACTGTTCATTTGGTCCATGACGACATGGCGAGGCAATGCCATGTAGGGCTGCCTTGCCATATTCAGTAATTCGTGTGAAATAACTATGCTTGCTGCATTCAGAAAAATGAAAGAAATCTTATTGCATAGTGCTAGTGTCATAAGATGTCTTGAGGTCATCGACATATGAAATAAAAGAATTATGGCATGGAAGGAACGCTACCCATTGAAATTGTTCCCAACCAAAGCTTCTACGAATGTGATGGGTTTATTTACACGGAAAAGCCAGCGCTCAACCGATACTTCCCAATAGCCACCACTCGAGAGCGTCCTCACACACGAAGTGTAAAATTTTTTCAAATGCATGGGGTTCTTGATTTAGTCTACAAAAAGAGCTGATAGAACAAAGACTCCCCATTGCGGCGTGATAAATGCGGGTAGAAAATTGTCAAGGTATACCAATCACTAAGGTCATTGATCTCACAAACATTTAATTACACAACGATACAGATTAAAAGAATAGAAGAAATATATCGTGTTTGTTTTTTCGTGATTTAAGTGCATTACTTTAGCCTTAGCAGAAATTCATGCAAAACAACTATTCTTGCTGCATTCAGAAAAATGAAACAAATTTTATTGCACGGCACTAGTGTAATGAAATGTCTAGTGGTCATCGACATATGGAAATAAAGAATTTTGCTCTGGAAGGAATGTGTCCTACATAAACTGTCCAAAAAAGCATACTTAATGCTGGATGTCAAAGAACCCCACTATTTGCCTTGTACGACGAGGACCTTTGGTAATTTACGGTAACCCAACAATGTCTACCAAGAACACAACTGTAGAAGAGACTAACAACTGAAGTTTAAGCGTGAAAGTGCTTGAGGTTAACCATAAGCAGGGAGTGCATGACTACGTCAAAGGCCTCGCTTAGGTCACAGTTTATGGTGTCTGCATGCTTGCTGGGAAGCTTAGTCAGCTTCGTGATAGCTGAGCGATCATAGAGAAAGTCATGTTGATTCGCAATCAAGGAGCTGTTCACACTAAAAGACAGTAGGTAGTGAAGATCAAGCAAGAAGAAAGAAAAGAACAAAGAAAAGAACTTCGGTTATAATCAGAGATATCAAATCTGCATTCAGGCTTGAACGCTACCAACACACTAGTTTTGCACTTGTGAGAGAGGGTATATTATTCAAAAAGTTATTAAATTTTGATGTGCACACGGTGACCTATGTACTGTCATAAAATTTGAAATATATTGTAAGTTGTTAAATATTGATAATAGATTGTATATTATTACTGTTATTGGCTATCATTACCTTACATTCAACACATAAAAAAGAAGCAAGAGACTCATATCTTATTATTCCGCAAGCTGTTCGTAAAATCAGTTTATTGCGACCATCATTTAAGCTTTTGTCATCGCCAGTAGGAACCACCCCGCTTTATTTTCTACTTCAAACAATCGACAAAACATGCCATACACATGGCAAGACTTACTTTACACAAGAAATAAACTTTTTTCACTCCTAATAATTAACCTTCATTTCAGGGTCACGACACATCGGCTCAGACGCTTACGTGGACTCTGTTCGCGCTCGCCATCAACCCCGGAGTTCAGCGAAAGGTACATGCGGAACTCGACAGTGTGTTCGGGAAGCGGGCAGCGGGAGACATCACGAAAAGCCACGTTACCAAACTTACGTACTTGGATCGTGTGTTGAAGGTGCGTAGAATCATCCTCGCTCACTGACGTAATCAGCACGAGGTCTAAAAACGAAAGTGAAGGCACCTTCTTTGTTACACTTCAAGGATAGCGATTAACTTATTTCTTCCACAGAAAGAATAACGGGAGAACTGCTGAAAAAAAATAGATGGAAATTTTAGGATTTTCTTGCATTTTGTTTACTTTTCGTGATTTCTACTGCATGGAGTAAGAAGAAGTGGTCATGCTAATACAAAAGCGTCTCGAGTCAAACAAGACGAACACCTTGTAGTTGTCGTTCCCACTAATACTTACTTGGTGAGACACCGAGGACGGCTCAGAGTAGGAAATACACTTCGGTATCGAATCATTACAACGATATTATACTAATTTAGACCTGCGGTGCCACAAAAGAAGTCCTCGCCATCAGTGAATTCGAACACAAAGAAAACTTTCTTGTGGATATTTGTCCCAGGCAAAATATATCCTTCATATCATAACTCGACAGAATGATCCAATGACATATTGAAAGATAGAAAAATGAATTCAGAATCCAAAACAACGTATTTGGTATAATATATTTGCTGTACTCAAACACATTATCACATAAGTGTAGAATGTTGAACACAAAGCTAAATTATGGGTACCGAAATTATAGACAGCAAATGACGCATCAGTTTCAGGTTCACCGGCATGACCTTGAAAGTGGAATATAGTAATGCGCAGACACTTCAGCTGCTTAGCCACGACACGAAAACATTATGTGCATTTTAAACAACAGAATCGTACTACGGAATCAGGCTTCGAGATCGAAGCCAAACTGAAGGTTGCTGCGTGCCTGTCCTGCCCCAGAGAGATCATACATCTCTTTCTGTTGAACGCAGCGTTCAGACAGTGGGTGTAGGGCGTTGGCGTACTTTCTCCCTGTATACTTTTGACCAAATGATGACCGATCACGAATCACGGGCAATGGGAAGAACTGTCTGTTACTAACGCTATCGTCAGCTCTTTTCTTTCGGAGACATGCGCTCGCAAAGTTCACAATCAAATATACAACTCTGCATTGTGGCTTTTGATGTACGATTACCCAGTAATACGAGTAAACTCATGAAATAATAAATGACCTAGCGATAAATATTCATGAAGGCACCAATTCAACAATGCTAGTCTCTCTTGTTGTTGGAGTTTGCTGATCTATCAAAATACAAGTTTCCGATTTGTGTACGATCTCCTTTAGTCTAGACGTTGGCCCCAGCTCTATTCACCTGCAGCTTATCCTGCTTCCTTTGAATAACTGTCCATGAAACGGAGTGTTGCACTTCAGGCAGCTATTGCAGCAAATGATGTCAAAAAACCGTGTCTGTACTTTTGTATCGGCACTGCGTGGGAAGAATAATCCACACAGTAGCCCATATAGCTGGACTTATAAGGTTACGTGTTTTCAACGCTCGCGTATATAGGTATCATGGCAGTGCGATATACTCATATGCAATATTTCGCAAATGAATGAATTTTTTTTTAATTCGAGCTCGCAGTTGACTGAACTAAACCACGCTGCAAATTCGTTAATTGCGCAAGTGTGGGCCAGAATCAAGCACAAGGAATACGAAGATTATAGCTGATGATGACTGTATAAACAAGAATAATGGAGCACACTAACATTATTTACAATTTGAAGGATAATTTTCAATTTCTTGTACTGGGGAAAACAGATGTAGTCTGCTCCTAGTGTTTATGCAGAAAGTAAACAAAACCTATCGCTCCGCTGAGTAATTTTTCTGAGCAAAAGCACAAAGGCCCCTTCTACAAATCACTTTGCAGTTGATAGTCTCCATAGACAGCGTAAGAATGAATCATGTTTTCATTCAGACAAAGCAATATATCTAGCGAGGGAACCATGTTTGTATTCCCGTAAAGCTTTACTCGGTGTTACGCAATATTTTGCCGTTTGACCGCGTTTTACCAAAGGGATGACCAAGTGTGAAATTTTTGATGAAACCGAGAATTTCTTAAAACTGAGAAAAAAATTTTCATTCCTTCGATTTTTGCAACATTTACGTAGCGACATCTAAAAGCTAACACAGCATGCTACCACAGTATTAGTTATACCGTCGGCTCATCCTGCCCAAATGCCAAACGCCGTAGAAGCTGACTGACGGAGGTGTTCTCAGACATTGATTGCCTCACTTATACATGAGGGAAGAGGAGAGGCTACACGTACGGCTGGTGAAGGCTAGGTAATGGTCACATGAAGCTATGGCAGGCTACCTGTAAACAAATAAATGGCCAATGAGTGTGGCAAGATACATGCAAGGGGATGATCACTGATATGTATCGCACAAACCATAAAATAACAAAGGCAACCACATCCACACCCTGTGACATTTAGTATACGTGAAAGCACTACCAGTTGCCGAATCTAGACAGCATTACTCGCATGTGTTCGGCATGCAACCTCGTCAAAATAAAGTTGGGGCTGTGAATAGGGGGCCGACAAGTTTTATTGTGTTATAGTGTTAGAACAGACGCTGGGGAGTGACTGTCCCTAAGTTTTAAGAAAATTACTGCTCTGTTACTCAATTATTTAAAAAAAAAACCTTCTTCAAATCAGGTTAGGCGGCTAATTTTGTTCGTTAATTCGGGTTGAGAACAACATTGAAACCTATGAATGCCAGCTGGGAAGGAAAATTTATATGTTATGTCAGCAACTTCGTACAAAAAGGTTTCGTATATGGAGTTTAACTGTGCGTGCATCCTTTAAAGGGCACTTCTAATGTAGAGGTGTTGTTTTGTAGTGTATGTGGCAACATTACGGTATGCTGTTTGCCCTACATACTAGGGAGGAAAGTAGTTAGCGCCATACGTATACGCCACCACCTTTGGTCATGAATATCAAAGCAAAAAAAAAGGCACGTATGAGTACAACATGAGTATGAGAGCGATGTGGCTTTTGCACGTGTCGTAATTTTTATAGCCATGCATAGTATAATAGGTACTGCCCCATTTTAGAAATTACACAATTTTAATATTGCAATTGATCGTGCAAAAATCAAGCACCATATCCAGTATACGCCACGGTGGGCTTAGTTCAGCATGCACGCAGTTGTGAATCACATTATCTTAACTAGGTAACATCAATAAAAATTATTTACAATTAGAGCCACCCGCAAGCTTTATATTAGGTAATAGTTTCAATTTCCGAAGGTAGTCTTCTACTAATATTCGTATTCTGTTCTATTCGTATACTCTATCTTTCTAGCGGACTTTGCCCGAACAATTCACAGCTTGTATTTTGATATCAAAGAAGTAAGTTATCTGTGTAAAAATACGTGATAAAAAGGCAGAAATATAGTGTTTTACACGCTCAATTTTGGCATACGTAGTGAAAATCTAGCACAGAAAACACCTGCTTAAACCAATGTCTCAGTGTTTTAGTGTAAGGTTTTCTGCCATTGCTTGTTTCTTGCTTCTGCATGTTTCGAGGTCTTCGCTTTCTTCTTTCCAGGAAACCATGCGTATTTTCACCATCGTGCCTTGGGTCGGAAGATCGCTGACTGAGCCGTTAAAGATCGGTACCTCAATACTACATTTTCTTCTTTCCTTCTTATCTCCCTATCTTTGCGTAAAGTAACTGGTTAACAATTACAGCTTAATTTCGTTGTCCTCAACGCATTGTCCACATATATTACAATTTCGCCGTACAATTGTGGAGTGCACGTGCAACAGTTTTTTGCTAGGTTTCGTATCACATGCCCGAATATTTAATACTGCACCAAAAACAGGCCCTACTTAAGCGTCTCCCTTTGCATGGTCTGTGTAGCATTTTTCTACCTTTCCTGCTGAAGTCTTTTTTTTTTTTTTGTCCATAGGAAACTATACGATTCCTGAAGGGTGCACCTGTTACGTGTTTGCTTACGGCATCCACCGCGACCCCGCCCACTACATGGACCCGGAGGCGTTTGACCCAGACCGTTTCCTGCCCGAAAACTGCAGCCGAAACCACCCCTTCGCTTTTGTGCCTTTTTCCGCTGGCCCTCGAAACTGCATCGGTGAGTGAAGAGTTGTAGCCCACCGTTCCGGAGTATACTAAAAGAAAGCCATAAAACCATTGTGCTACGTGTACACCTTAAAGGGGTACTGACTCAAAATTTTGGGGTCGAGATAGCCGTGGGGTCAATTCTCGTGAACATTCGTATATCATCTGCAAGATATCAACAGTGAATGTAGCTTGGAAGGTCTTTTAAATAATTTTGAAGTTTGCGTGAGTGACCGACTCCATAGCTCTATAGACACCCACCGAGGTGAACCCGAGGTGATCCCCTACTTCCCTCACGTCACCACGCTGCGGTTAACAAAACAAGTTATGATGACGTCATAGCCACCATTTTTCTTTTGCCGCGTTAGTTCCCGAAGTCTATAATTCTCGGTGGCTGGTTGCGAGTGCGCGACCGTGGCGCACGCTAAGAAAGTTTTGTGTTTGGCGAAATCCCACTGCCGTTTCCTATTCGAAAGTAATTCTTGATGTGGAACGTGTGGAAGTGCGTCACAGTTCTGTGTGCTGACGTGGTCAAGAGTTGCACAAGTTAGGTGGCGACAGTTGCACCCAGTTTTTGGAACTCTCTCAAACCAAAACTGAAACTGATCGATAATGAGGGACCTTTAATTGTTAATCTATCGCGTGCTGCAGCAAACAATGTGTCGTGTCATGACTAACATTCCTACAGCAACGAATTGCAGAAGAAAAACGCGAGGCCAAAATTTTTGTGTCAATACCCTTTTAAGGCAAATTGGCTCCAGAACAAAACGCCTATATTATAAGACATGTCTACCATAGGCATTCATGTACGATTATTGACTACCCAAGTGGCACTGATTATATCAGCTGCAAGTCGGACATATAACTTGTCCCTACACATATACACATACGTAGGTACATATCTGATCGGTGAAGCATCAGCACGCTATTCTGCTCCATGCACGGACTTAAATAGTTCAAATTTACGCTGCTGATTTTACATAAGCATATTCTTGTGTTTTCTAAAATAATACTACTACTACTACAAGTACTACTACTACTACTACTGCTACTACTACTACTACTACCACTAATAATAATAATAATAGTAATAATAATAATAATAATAATAATAATAATAATATATTTAGGGTTTAACGCCCCAACACTACGATATCACTATGAGATACTCTGTAGTGAAGGGCTCCACAAATTGGGACGATCTGGTGCTCTTCAACGTCGAATGGCATCACACAGAACACGGGCTTCTGCTATTTCGTCTCGATCGAAATGTGACCGCGACGGCCGGAGAGGAAACTCGCAACCTTCGGGTCAGCGGCCAAGCACTCTAACTGCTACAACACCACAACGGCACATTTCCTTATAAAAATGAGGTCGGTAGGTTAGGGTGTTAGGATATTTAAAAAGTTAGTGACAATTAGGTAGTCTCACGATATATATATATATATATATATATATATATATATATATATATATATATATTATATATATATATATATATATATATATATATTATATATATATATATATATATATATATATATATATATATATATATATATATATATATATTCATTTATTTATATACACATACGTCACTTCACTCAGAGGTCCAGGCGAGCTTTATTGGATCAACAGCCAGGGCTCTTGATAAAACGCATCGTTTAAGGTAGTTCTCGAAAAAGACTGCACACGCACACCTTTCTTTCGCGATCGCTCCCAAGGGCCATTTACATCACCCACTATACTTGTGGGATTATTTCCCTTTTATCAAAACACGGCATCGCCTGTAGGCTCAAAGAAGCGTGTAAGGAAAGTGAAATAGGAATCAGACAGCTTATACGACACGAAAGTACAAGGATGGTAGAATATGTTGTAAGCTCAGTCAACGAAGGATGAGGAATGTCACAAACACAAATAAAAAAAAGAAACAAATGTGCAGCACTGGATAATATGGACGCACTAAATAAGGCTTCATGTGCACGACATGAACAATAATCTAGTCGAGGTCGGTTGTTTTCGTTGCATTCGTGTTGACAATACAGTGCCCGCAACCACATCCTAGGGTTAATTACTCACGTGACTTAGCACACTATAGTTCTTGCCGTTTCGGTATTGTTACTGAGAGCCAGTTTTTTTTTTTTCAGCGGTGTCTTTCAATAAATCCTCTGCAGCGTCAGTTCGCAGTGTCCGTTTTACTTTTCGCTTAATGCTCGTTGTTGCCATATCACCCACACTGCCAACTGTATATTTACTGTGCTCTAAGCCACAGAGAGCAACGGGGCTATAGGGGTTCCTACTTTCAGGGAGCAATTGCATTGCAACTTCCATTAGTCAACTAAAAGGAGTAACTGCAGGGGGACCACCGTGGCGCGGCGAAACATACAATTACCGCGGTTTCAGTTTAGTAAGCCCCTTCATGTACACAAATGGTTACTAGAAATGAAATACACGCAAATATATACTGATACTTCTTTCAAATGCATACAATCCCCGTGATTTCACATTATACGCCTTAATGTGCACAATCAGTCTAGAGAATGTATGTACAGGAAAACATATACTTTAAATGTTTTCAAATGTATACAGTCATAGTGGTTTCAGTTTATATTCCTGGATGTATAACCATTGGTTACGAGAAGTGATGTGCATGAAAACATATACAGGTTTTTGCCCATATGAGTTTTGCGAAATACTAAAAGTCAATACAATGATCAGAAACAGAATAATATAAAAATTAAGATGAAACTGACTCAAGGCACACAAAAAAAACTAAAGAAAGAGGTAGTGCATATTTATGTCTAATGACACAGCTGGGTCATTTCATGCCAAATGTCCAAACCATTTTAGCAACCTTTTCAAATATATTCGAAAAAAATTGTGCTGCATTAAAAAGAGGGAACTTCTAAACTATTTAGGAGGAAAAAAATATTGGTCACGTGGCTGCCTTCTGAACTCTCCGGAATGCTGTCTAGGTGTTGTTTGTCGAAAATTTCATTTCAAAAGTACCGCTCCTTTTTTCTGTGCCAAATTCGGTCAATATGTTAAGAAGTAACAAGAGCTTAATTTGGGCGAGTTGGTTCATCATGGTTGCGTTCTTGTCACAGTGCGACAACTTCAGGAAAGGAAAAAAAAGAGAGTGAATAGCGCTGTCTTCTATTGAAGGTGCTACGAACACTTTTATACCGAGTACAAGAACAGTGCTCATCAGCGACGACACATGTGTGACCATGACAGAATAATCTTCACTGAGAAAAGAATGCTCTCTCTCGGAAAGAATAAGTACAGGTGTACTGATGCATTGATCCTTGAACCTTCCTGATAAAGTATGCTTCTAAAATCTCTCTTTAATTTTTTGTTCTTGTTTTTTTTTCAAACACCTGTTTTTTGAAACACAGGACTGCACTTACATTCTATACAGTGTACGGCCGTGAGACTACTACCATAGTCATTTTTACCCAGACCACCGTTATGTCGTACTCATGAAGGTGGAGGCTCCAGAGGGTGAGGCGCCCTGATAGATCCCGTAGATTGGCAAGCCAACAGAATGAATGTGCCAGCACTGGAGCTGTCTGCAGTCGGTAGCTCTACGAAGGCTTGTTGTTCTTCCGTCTATACGAAGGACACACCTGGCCCGGTCAGTCTTGTATGAGGCTCCGCAATTTTCGAGAATCCTTCGACAAAACGGCGGCAGTAGGCACAGAGTTTGAGGTATCGCTGAACAGCCTTCTTGTCTCCAGGACGAGGGAAATCAGCTACGGCAGCCAACTTGTCCGGGTCTGGTCTAACACCCCCCGGGCTCACCACGAGACAAGAAACTTGAGTTCCTGATAGCCAAAGTAACACTTTTCGGGCTTCATGAAAGGCATCAATATGATTGTGGTATTTTCTTCAACTGGGCATTGCAGATTGCGTGCCGGAACAGGCAATCATACGAGCAATTATCTAGTGACAAGTAAACTGAAAAGCATTATTCAAGAAAGAGAGCGTCCTTAGTCATGCCATGCCAAATGTCCCAGACTTTGAGCTGGATGTCCACCAATCGCATAAGAAAAAATGTGTGGCTTTTCATATCCACGCATTACTTATCGGCGTGCCTGACGCGGGCTCCTATGCGGGATATACCAACTCAATATCTGGATCAAAAAATATGACGAACCATTGTTGTTTTAGAGGTGTAGTGGTTAGAGCATCCGCCTCGCATGCAAGAAGTCCGTGGTTTGAATCCCTGTGTGGCACAATTCTCAACCGAAAAAAAAATCCGCGTGTTGAAGGAACTGCATTAAGAGGCCTGCGGTGTGGCCCCACTGGTGACCACCGCTGGCAACGCACTCCCTCACCAGAGAAGGATTGGCCACCCTGGTGCAGTATCTGGCCACTACCTCCCACATTCATACGTCAATTTACTCACGGCCCTCTCCCCAGCAGCTGCGATGGAACTGACCACGGCGGTGGTCAGATCTGCAATGCAGCAGAGGGTGCTAAGAGTCTCTAGATCCAGACAGGCCGCAATTGGAACCTGAGCTAGGTAACATTTAACGCTAGAACCTTAAAAAGTGAGGCTAGTATAGCTGCACTATTCGAGGACCTAGAGGGTGTTAAATGGGATATAATAGGGCTCAGTGAGGTTAGGAGGACCGATGAGGCCTATACCGTGCTACAGTATGGGCACGTCCTTTGCTATCGGAGTTTCCCTGACAGAAGAGAACTGAGAATGGGGTTCCTAATTTACAGAGACATAGCTGGCAACATAGAGGACTACCATAGCATTAATAAAATGGTGATAGGTATCGTAATTAAACTCAATAAGAGATACAAGACGAAGGGGGTACAGGCTTACGCGCCTACATCCAGCCATGATGAGGCTTCAGTTGAAAGCTTCTATGAAGACGTGGAATCGGCAATGAGTAAGGTGAAACCACAGTATACTATACTTATGGGAGACTCTAATGAAAAGGTAGAGAAGAAGCATACTGGAGACCAGGCAGTAGGAAAATATGGCATCGGTACTAG